GTATGGAGCTGTGCATCTCCTCTATACCAACAGAGTGAGAGACTTTTTAAAGCAATGAAAATATGTGTTAAGTAGGAGCGGCCCAGAATTTAAAATAATCTGTATTCCTCTTTAAAATCAATACATATTCTGTGTAGTCTTTTAGTTGGATTTGTTGTAAAGAACAGAAAAGCTGAGGAGTTTTCCTTTAGGAAACATGGATGTTCGAGTCTGCATTGGAACACTTGACACCAAAGATTACATTTTAACACCAACATCAGCACTCGAGGGCAGCTGAGGTTAAAACCTGCAGATAAAGGAAATATAAATCAAGGCACAAAAAGAGCATTCAGTTATAGAGAAGGAGAATTCTGTTTCCGAGGGGGAGTTTGGGGCTGATGAGGGTTAAAGCAGGAGGATGACCCCAGCAGGGAGGAAAAAACACAGTGAGAGGAGACGTTGGGTTCACCCTGCAAAGACACAAACACATCTATGAGCACAGGCTGGACAGGATCAACAGGAACAAAGTAACACCACCTGTGTGGCATGCTGCACCTTTTTCTCCATCTACATGAAATCACACTCTGCACTGCGAGCAGCTCTGCGAGGCTGCAACTGAAATAGTCAAACATCACACGTTTCCCTATATTTTAATTCTCATCATTCTCGCAGGAATGATAAAAATAAAGATGTTAGCTTTATACTGTTGTTGCAGGGGTGGATGCTGATGGACACACGTCCAACGTTCAGGGTCAGTTTCTGAATGTTTTATTTTCAAATCTCGGCTCTCGTCTAACTCACAGAACAGACAACACCAGCTGCTGTTCAATTTTCTTTTTGGTCTTTTTCCTAAAACAAATATTTCATACAACTTAAAATCGCAACAATAAAAGCACATGCCTACACTTCACCACCCTGTGAGCCCTGAAGGTGTCCTGTGTTATCAGACCCCAGATGGTAGCAGCAGATCTTTAGGGCCTGAAGCGATCAGACGCCTCCAGAGATCTGACTAGAGCTTTCCTGCACATGACATTGTGGTTTTCTACTCGTCCTTCTCTATAGTGCTTTGATAGCTATTAAGGGCAAGAAAAAATAGCTGCCTATTGCCTGTTGCTGGGCCGTGTCACTGTTGAAAACAGGACGGTGCAGTGTTACATCCTGGTCTAGGGGTACTGGAATGCAACATAAGGTTTATAAGGAAAATGACCCCGCCCTCGTCCCCAAAACCACACCCAGAAGCTGATTTACAAGTGAAAGGTGGCTTATTGTGTCTAAACTGAAGCTTAACTTAAGCTTCAGTTTAGACACATCAGCTTCTGGGTACGGTGTTGGGGACCAGGGCGGGTCATTTTCCTTATAAACCTTATGTTGTGTTCCAGTACCGCTAGACCAGGATGTAACATGCAGTGAACAAAGTATTAGTTATTACTAACAGGGGGTCTGGTAAAAGGCACGCCTTGTGGTGAAAACCTTTTGGAGTAGGTAATTATAAAGCATTTCTTTAACTCCACAAGAGCTGGCATTCTGGAAAGATCCAGAGCATTACTATTACTACCTGTAGTATCAGTATAATCAGCAGGTCTCCTGTTGTGTAACATGCGGTTTGGATATTTCAGCACAGGCCACAACAAGCTGGGGTTTTAAATGCAAGAGAAACGGTCACTAGCTAACTGTTCAGGTCAAAGGTGACGAGAGTGGCACAGTACCTCTGTAGCGTGGCTCCATGTGGTAGCTGTAACGTTGATTAATGCAGTAAACACCTGCACAAAGAAAAGAAAGACCACAAGATTTATATGATTATCATAAAGATCCTTTTAAAAATCTATTTATACGCATGACATTTTTATAGCTCTTGACATTTTAGATGCTCTATAAATGTATTTTCCCAGTCAGCAGTCAGTATCCATGTCAGATAGACATGCATTTTTCTCCTCCTGAAGGGAGGAAGTATGTTATGTCTGTGAGTTTGT